TGATGACTCCAAGATCCTTTTCCGCCTCCGTGCTGACAAGAGGGGAGTTCCCCAACCTGTAGGTATGGTGCCGGTTGTTCCTCCCCAGGTGCATCACCTTGCACTTGTCTGTGTTGAAACCCTTCCTATTCTCTTCTGCCCGCCCTTGTAACCTGTCTAGGTCAGATTGTAGCCTGTTGCTTCCTTCTAGTGTGCCCACGTCCCCCCACATCTTAGTGTCATCAGCAAATTTGAACAGGGTGCTTTGCACCCCTTCGTCCAAATCGCTGATGAAGATGTTGAACAGCGCGGGCCTGAGGACCGAGCCCTGCGGAACCCCACTGCCCACGTCCTTCCAGGCTGAGAAGGACCCATCCCCTACCACCCTCTGGGTGCGGCCCTCCAGCCAGTTGGCGACCCATCTGACTGTGTGGGTGTCGACACCACAGTCCCCCAGTTTCTTAATGAGAACGGGGTGAGAGATGGTGTCAAAAGCCTTCTGGAAGTCCAGGAAGACTATGTCCACTGCTACCCCTGCATCTAATGATCTGGTAATCTGATCGTAAAAGGCTACCAGGTTGGTCTGACAGGACCTGCCACTGATGAACCTGTGCTGATTGCCCCTAAGCATGCAGTCCCCTGCTGGCCCCTCCTGGATGTGTGCCAGAATAATTTTCTCGAACAGCTTGCCTAGGGTCGAGGTAAGACTAACTGGCCTATAGTTTTCAGGCTGGCACAGTTCCATTCTGCAAGGTGCTGCTTGGTGCTGGGGGGAGAGGGATATAGGGGGTGCCGCATGCATGTGTGCGTGCACACACGCATATGGCAGCCAGCCAGCAGTGGAAAAGCAGCTCCCACAGCTCCCTCCAGGTAAGTCGGGTGGGAAGGGGCACACAGAAGTGTCGAGGGGGGCTCACAGGCAATGTGGGGGAGCATGTGCCCCCCATCCAGATTTCTGCACCTAGAGCCAGGCCAAACCAGCTCTGGGCAGGAGCAGTTTCCACAGGCAGCAGGTGGGACCCACCGGGGGTGGGGGCACCGTGCTGCCATGGCTGCCAAGGTGAGGCATGGTGGCAGCATGGGAGTGTGCCCTTACTGATGCCAGGTGGGCAGAGGATGCCTCACCTTGGTGGCATAGCACTCCCCCTGTGCTGGGTCCCACCTGCTGAGCCATGGAAGCAGCTCCTGCCCACAGCTTATCTGGCCAGGTTGCAGCCCGCGCCTCACTGTGTGCACAGAAATCTGGGGGTGATATGCCCCCTTTCCACCCTCCCAGGTTGTCCTGTGTCCCCCTGCCCCCGTGATGCATCACCTGTGTTCCTGCCCCCCATCCCCACTTACCCACCCTCTTCCTCATACTTTAGAGGGCTGGGAGTAGGGGCAGCAGGTTGGGGATGAGGGGCACCAGCAGGGCTGGGGCACTGTGGACGGGGAATGAGGAGCCCTGGCAGAGCCAGGGGGCTGTGGGACAGGAGTGGGGGGGTACCAGCATGGACAGGGGCATGGAACCAGCATATCAGGCCTGCTCAGCACCCCAAAGCAGTGTGAGGTGGACAACTGCAACTGGACCCATGTCCTGGTGAGTGAAGAGGGCAGGTGGAGCTCTGATTTCTCATAATAAAACAAAAATCAAATGCCAAAATACATAGGTATTTAAAATGTATTTTATTATAGTGATTGAGGTACTGGTAGGCTTCCGAGTTGCTTTCAAATTGTAAATGTATCAGTAAAACATTGTGCTCAACTAATACTTATATAGATAGTGGCGTTTCATTTTAATGGCGGAAAAACATGAATTTTTGGGGTGGGGGGTGTGGGGATGCCCTTTTAGACAGAGAAAACCAGGATTGCTATAATTACTAATCTGCTACATTGCTCTGAAACCCTGTGGTACTTATGTGAACTCTGTAGGTAAAGCAGTGAAGACGGACCACTCATGTGAACTTCAGTCATGCCTTCTGGTTCCAGTGCATCTATCCTGAAAGAAAGAAGGAAAAAAAGAAAGCAAGCACAAACATGTGTTCATTTCATCTGTCCTAGGTGTCAGAGATGCCAAAGCCTGCTTTTATGAAGAAGAACCTGGATGAACTGGGGATAGGAACTTACCACAACATTGCCTTCATACATCCAGACACTCCTATCATTAAAGCCTTGAATATATTTGTAGACAGAAGGATATCAGCGTTACCTGTTGTGGATGAGTCAGGTGTGTGTTAAGTAGTACGTGAGCATAAAAGCTGGTGGGGGGGAGGTGGAGAGGGATAGATCATTTCATTTGTATTTGGTTATTTTGTACAGTTACCCCTGTGGAGAGAGGTGCTAAAATTGCCTCTTTTCTGCCCTGCCACTTAAATCCCTACTAGGTCATCAAGTAATTAAAAGGGGAAGAATGGGATGAAAGGTTCAGGTTGCAGACCTAGACACTTCCTATTCAGTTAGTTTCTTTTGAAGTGTGTTGTAGCACAAAAAGGGTTTGTTTGTTGTCGGGGGGGGGCGGCGGGGGGGGTATTTTCTGTTTTGATATGTGTCTGTTTTGTTTCCTTGTAATTGGAAGATACTAAAACTAGGATGCAGGAACATTAACTTTTGTTTTTGAAAGGCCTTACTAACATATGTTTTCATTTTTAGGAAAAGTTGTAGATATTTATTCCAAATTTGATGTAATAGTAAGTATCTTCTTAAATTCCATAAAATATTTTATGTGCAGTGTGGTGTGTCTTTTTAACAATTTCTTTCAGACATCTGTTTCAACTGTTATTCCTTCCTTAACCTTTTAATTCTTTCTAATGAAGTGAAGAAAATGCCATTGAGTTGACTTTGCAATGTTCAGTTGACCATAGTAATAATTTTTATCCAGGGGTAGCTGGTGGTCAGGGCATTTCTAAGACTCAAAAAAATTGTGCCAACACAAGGAAGTTTAGGCTTTTTTTTAATATTTCCTCTTAACTATGCCTTTTCCACAACCTGGCCTTATCAATGGTGAAGGACTTCCTCTTGCAGGTTGGGCATATCATTTTAATTGTATTTTCAGTCATTGAAACAAATTAGCTGCCATAGTTGCATGCACCAGTGTACTAAACCTGCCCTTGTTGCAGTTCTGTCTGAATCTAGCTCAGACCAGTATTTTGCCATGCCATCCTTCAGTACAGCCTAGCCAGCCTGCCTATTAAGCAAACCTTCTACACAGTTGGGATCTCCCAGAAAAAGTCTGAATTTCTTTGTTCATCTCTTCTCCACACACCTGCTCCTTCCTGAGGGCTTCTGGGGGCTGCCTTATTCTGTGAAGAGATAAGAGTTTTAGTAGCTTGTACACCAGCCTGCCAGTGTCAGTGGAACATCCAAATGTCTGCAATTTTGCTTTAGAAAATCTCACTACTAAGGGAGAAGAGTACAGAAATACTTCAAAAGTTCCTGTAGCAACTATAATCTGCAGAATTTGTCTGCGTGCAGTGTTCTTGAGAATGAGGGTTCCCAAGCCGCAGGGTTTCTGCCTATTCCTTCAGGACTCCTGTTCCTCCTGCCTCTGTTTTTATGGAGGACATTGCCCTGTTCCTTCTTGGTGACCCTAAGCAGTAACTAGCTGTTGCAGAAGATGGTTGTAATCTCCAAGGAAGTGAAATCTCCAGCCCTAAATCCAGTTTATGACTTGTGCTACGTCTATAACTATCTTCCTGTTGAGACCAGGACCACTACCAAGAAAGCAATCCTGCCCACATTGAGCAGCATACATATCTCAGAGAGGTCCTAATGCCACTCTGAGGTGGAAGACCAGACTAGGAGGCAGTCTTTCCCCTACTCCGTCTTTGACAGTTGCTTCAGGGCAAGAACATCCATCTCATTTGTCACGCCTTTCATCGTGGGCGTTGGAAAGAAAGAAGCTTGAATCCAAGTGATTCCTTGAAGACAGAATTTAAAAGAACTCTAAGCAAAAATTTGTAATAAAATGTAGAAATCTGGACAGTATGGCTGCCAGAATCCTTTTAATTTCCAAGGAAGGTAGGCCTGCTCACTAGAAATTAACATGGCTAGAACCAAAACAACTTCAAGGCCAAAAGGCTTATTTTTCTGCTGCCAGCTAGTAACATGCAAGTAAATTAGGCTGCCTTTTGATCATCTTCCCCTGGGTGGTTGTCTCTTTCATCTATGCTAATTTGCAAATTAGACCATCAAGAATTTAAACATGCTTTGTTCTAAACAATAGCGTCCCTAAACAAATTAAACAAACAAATAAATAAGCATAATCTTCCTTTTAGGTGAAGGTACACGATTGCTTTTCCCTTTAACTTTCAGAAGTCTTGAAGTAAGCCACATATCTTGCCTTTGCTTCCCTATGCTCATAAAAGTGGCCATCTGCAAATCTTGGGTAAACTGGAAGCTTAAATTAGTACTTTCCAGAGGCTCCTTCAGTCACTCTGATCCTCCTGTTCTATGTTTTCTACAGCCTGGCACGCCAAAGGTCTGAGCTGTCGGTGTGCACACAGGAGGTAGAAGGCCTCATAGTTGAACTGGGGAACTGCAGCCTTGACAACCTTATGGTCCAGTGGCTTAGGAACTGGCTCTGTGGTCAGTCCCAGGGAGTGATAGTTGATGGAACCATGTCAACATGGTGCATGATGACCAGCAGCATCTCCCAGGGCTCCGTACTTGGACCAGTACTCTTTAACATACTTATAAACTATCTGGATTCTGGTATCAGAAGCGGACTGGCTAAATTCGCTGATGACACCAAACTATGGGGAGGTGTGGTCACACTAGAGGATAGGCTGGCAATCCAGGCCACCCTGGACGGGCGCTCAAGGTGGACGGATCAAAACCTGATGGCATTCAACACTGAGAAATGCAAGGTGCTCCACCTCGGGCGAGGGGTGGGGGGAAATCCACATCATACTTATAGGCTTGGCACCATGACCGAAAGGGACTTGGGGGTCATGATTGATCATAAGAAGAACATGAGCCACCAGTGTGATTCCACAGCTGGCAAAGCAAACAAAACCCTAGCTTGCATCTACCAGTGTATCTCAAGGAAGTCCCAGGAAGTCATCCTCCCCCTGTACTCGGCCTTAGTGAGACTGCAGCTGGAGTACTGCATCCAGTTCTGGGCTCCACACTTTAGGAAAGATGTGGAGAAGCTTGAGAGAGTCCAGAGGAGAGGCACGTGCCTGATCAGAGAACAAGTCTTATGAGGAGAGACTGAGAGGCAGGGGGCTCTTCAGCCTGGAGAAGCAAAGGCTCAGGTGTGACGTTGTGGCAGCCTATAAGGATGTAAGAGGTGTGCATCAGGAACAGGGAGAACGTCTGTTCACCAGGGCACCCCTAGGGAAGACGAGGTCTAATGGTCACAAACTTTGGGAAGACTGTTTTAGGCTGGACGTAAGGACAAACTTCTTTACTGTCTGAGTCTCCAGAGTCTGGAATAGACTCTCCCCAGAAGTGGTGCGCACCTACTCTGGACACCTTTAAGATGCACTTGCATGCTTATCTTGCTGGGACCATTTGACCCCAGTTGACTTCCTGCCTCTTGGGCAGCGGGCTGGACCCGATGATCTTGTGAGGTCCCTTCCAGCCCTAATGTCTGTGAAATCTGTATTACTAAAAAAAAGTTCCTTGCTGGTTGCACATTTCCTGAACTATGATGGCTAAAACAAGCCTCTAACCCTACTTCATCACAGAGCCTCCTGACAGCTGCCACTCAGGAGGCACCTAGTATCATTCTACAAACTCTCCAAAAATCTGCCTAATCTTCAAAAGAAAAGCTCAGCTTTGTCTCGCATAACAATTCCCTTAGCTAGGAAGCAATTTAGGATGGCTAAAAATTTAAAAAAACAAACATTTTTCTTTTTGAGAAAACGAACATATGGACTAGATCCTTGCTCAGTAGCCAGGGCCAAAACCTAATTGTACTTGAATGAAATCCTGGACCAGAGAATGAAAGAAGTCTGTCCTCATTCTCCTGTTATGCTGTTTAAACAAGTTTGACTTTCTTCAGTACCTAAAATAAATAGCTTGGAGCATGCCACCTTCATAATTGCCACCACTCCATCAACGTACATTCTGTAAAGTGGCTTCACCAAAATCTTGGGTTGAAAAGCCTGGAGATGCAAGTGTCAAGTGGCAACGCTTCGTATCTCATTCACAACTCACTAAAAGACTGATTGCACTTGGGCTCTTGTGTGCCCCCAAAGGACTAAACTAGGTCACACATTTTAAAATGCACAAAGTAATTGAATGTGCAATCACATGTTGCACAAGAGTGCAGTAACTACTTCATTCCATGGGTTGCGTATTTAGGACTAGAGGATAAACAGGACCTTACAGATCCTCAAGTCCAGTTCCTGGTACGAGCCAATCACACTACATAATTCTATTCCTAAACTGACCTTAAAAGTGAATTAAGTTGTTTTCTCATACTTCTCTTTTTGGGAAGCTGTTCCAGGACCTTGCTCCTTGGATAGTTATACACTGCCTTCTAATTTACAGCCCAAATTTATTCCTAGCCACAGTTTATACTTTTTACATTTTTGTGCCATAACTGCCTCCCCATAGTGATTTTCAGAGTAATCATATCCCATCTCAATCTCTGCTTTGTTAGAGTAAATCAAGCCAAGCTCTTTTGAGCTGTTCTCCTAAGGTAAGTTTTCTTTTTCTGATTATCTTGGTAGCCCATCTCTGCTTCTGCCCCCATCTGAATTCATATTTCTTGAACCTGAGTATACAGAGTAGAGTATCCAGATGAGGTCTCGCCAGTACCTTGTCAGTACTTCCCTGCCTGTATTGGAAGAATCTTGCCTAATACATCCCAGTGTCTCCTTTTTGTGTGCCCCTATCACATAATCATCCTCTGATCATCTAAATACAACCAGGTCTTTCTCCTCCTCCGTTGTGCCCAGTTGATGAGCTCTCAGTTAAGTTCTTGTTATTAATCACCACTGTATGATGTGGGAAATCATTATAGCTTTTCACCCCATTTCTTTCTTTTTTAAGACTTCAGTATCATCCCTTTCTTCCTTATCAAGTCCAGTCCTTCTCTTTATTGCTGATATGTCCCCGTCTGTGTCACCAACACATTCCAGCTAATGGAAGAAGAAAAAAATAGTATCTTCTTTCCTATACCTTTTCTCATAGGAGAGGATATTAGCATTTCTGCGCAAATTCTGTGTATATCAAAATACTCTTGATTTTAACATGAAGACTGTAGATGCTATACTTTTCAATTATTTTAACCCTCTCACTTGCAGTAGTGCTAATGAACTATTATAGTTCAACTGATGAATATGAACTATTGAATTTCTCATAGTTGATGTAATTTCTGTTTTGGAAATGTATCTTCTGGTATCCATGATTGCAGTGCCAAAACAGGCCAGCAGAGGGGGTCTGAGCACAAGTACAGCAAAAGATGGTAATTAATGCTTTCATTGGGACTGTCCAGACCAGCTGGGGGTCATCTGTTGGAAGAAATAATTGTGGTTAAGGAAACAATATTTCTCTTTATTACTAAGGTCTCATAAATCTCTAGAATTTGAATTGATCTATAAATTTTGCACTTATTGTGCAAGAGCAGGAAGATGTGCTTTGAGTCCTTCAAGTCCAAGATCTGTTAGCAAAATGAGTAATTTGTCAGTGGCTGGGTGCATACCACAATCCAGGAGTAATTTTTGTCAAGTCTGTCATGATGCATTAACTGAACTGCAGACTTGGCTTTCCTTATGCACTGAAGGATCGCTGATATACTTAGCTTAGCCAAGGTGTTTACTATGTTAAGTGAAAACCCTCAGTCTACAATATAACACTGGACTGATATTTGCATGCATAGGTCAGTGCCAAAAAATTCACCCACTTGTCTGTTATAAAGACTACAGCTGAATTCCCTGCATGTTATTTTTCAGAATCTTGCTGCTGAAAAAACATATAATAACTTAGATATCACAGTGACGCAAGCCCTGCAGCACCGTTCTCAGTATTTTGAAGGTGTTGTGAAGTGCAGTATGCTGGAAACACTGGAGACCATTGTGGATAGAATAGTGAAGGCTGAGGTGAGAGTGCTTTTGTATTCACTTTAATTTTTAAAGCAGTATGATAACAGGGGCACCAAATGCGTGCTTTGACTTTAAAGTAGTACAAAGTGATTTTGCTGATACGCCATGGGTATAGTTTCTCACAATCTTCATGTGTAAATATTGAAGTTTGGGTTACTGCCGTTATGAAGAATCTGCAGGGAATCTTGGTGAAATCTCTGGTTTCATTCAGGGCTTCCAGGGGGGTAAGGGAATTGCAAGGTTTTTTTTTTTGTATTGTTTCCATCTCCATTCCTGTGCCTTACACCTTAGGTCCACCTGTTGATGGAAGAGTTATTCAAAGTGAAAGTTAAAAGAAATGCTGGCTTCTAAACCTATGTAAGAGCAAATGGAAGGTTCCTGAAACTGCATTGTATCTAACCCTTTGCAGATGACCACCACAACATACATATATATATATATATATAAATATATATATATAT